GGTGACACCTGTGCAACCTCAGGGTCTTCAAAAGATTTGCATAGGTGTCACTGAAAGGAACTTAGCAAGCAATTGTATTGGTTGTGCACAAGAAGAAACTAAATCTAGCTCATTCTTTGCTGTGATGGTTCTGCAGTGCCCAAAAGTTAGGGTGATCAGATAGCAACTGTGAAAAAATGGGACAGGGGTGGGGGGTAATAGGCACCTATATAAGAAAAAGTCCCAAAAAACGGGACTGTTCCTTTAAAAACGGGACATCTAGTCACCCTACCAAAAATAGAAAACAGAAAAACATAGTTTTATCACTGTTAAGAGTCTTATCTGCTTTTATAAAGAGAAACCAGATCTGTTGAGTAAGAAGGTGTCATTTCTCAGAGTAGAAATGAATGTTAAAATATCAGCTCAGCTTAAAGACAAAGAAAAAATGCATGGAGTAATACATGTTATTTTGTGCCAGTGTTTCACAACCAGTAGTTAGCTGTCAGGGGACTTTCCTGCCCTGTTTCTGTATTGAGAGTAATGGAGGCAACAAAGAGGAGGCAGCCTTTGGTTCTGTTGTGAGCAGTCCACTAATATTATTGCCTAGTTTTATTTAAACAAAAACATTGCAGAGAAGAGAGGATGAAAACGTAAAGAAGACAAGTTACATGTAAAGGGTGCTGGGGAAGAAATCAGTCAAACTTAACTTTGCCTCCAAATACAATTTGGAAAAAATATATGCCAAGGTGAAATTAACAAATTGTTAGGTGATTATAAAGTCCCATTTCTTAGTTAAGGGCTTCACATCCAGTAATCAAATTTGTTTTGACCCGGGACATATTTTTGGAAACTTTATTTGGAGGCAATGTTAAGTTTGGGAGAGGGACGTAAATTGGGGGAAGTAAAAGTGGTGAAGGATTACTGACAATCAGGAAGCAGCTGGATCGCTACTGTAAAAAACTGGCAGTTCTCTTGTGAGGCCACACTGTTAGCAGATGCTGTTGATTCTGCTGGGAGACATGTATATAACCTTTTTCTTTGGTCCTTTAAATATGTTTTGCCTGCCTTAGAAGTTCACTTACTTTAAGAAGTACAAATTTGAGTATAACTATCCATTCTCATTATTTTATTATGTCAATCAAAATATAGTTTCTCTTCACTTTGACCATAACTAGAAGAAATAATAAATATTTGTCAATTATTTTGTTGTTTGTACTGTTGTTGTAGCTGTGTTGGTCCCATGGTATGAGAGAAAGTGGTTGATTTAATATCTTTTATTGGACCAATGATCTTCAGGTCTGGAGAAGGTAACCAGTGTGTCCAAGATAAAAGGTATTTACAGGGCATACCTGGTATTTAGCTTGGACACGCTGATTACCTTCTCCAGACATGAGAAAGAGCTCTGTGAAGCTCAAAAGCTTGTCCCTTCCACCAATAAAAGTTGGTCCAATTATTTTGTTGTCATATAACCTTTAAACAGGATAGACAGAGAAAATTGTAATGGCAAAAGGTACATTAATACTAAAAATAAGAAATTATTACAAAGATTAATTATTAGTAAAGTTGAAAGTATGTAGAAGTGGAAAATGTATTAAACTTTCCATAGAATAATTCTTCTACCGCAACCCCCTCCCTTAACCCCCCCCCAACAATAATAAAATCTTAAAGTATGAAAGTCTAGAAATAAACAATTAAAGGATACAGCCACTTTGTTCATATCATCTGTTCCTCCTTAATTTACAAGGACTGCATGCAAATCATGACTCCCATCCAGGCTTAACTTTGCTCTCTCTTAATTTGCATGAGTATATGTAAAGTTAAGAACATGTTACTAGGAGACTATAAAACCTCATTTCCTTACCAAGGGATCTATATATTTAATATGCTTTAACTAGGTGTGGAAGGATTAAACTTTTATTGGTAAATGTCAGCAAATGTTAATTTCACCATACACACACAAACTAACGAATATTTCCATTGATAATAACTGAAATTTACAAACAGGCAAAGTAAGAAAAATGTCACTTAGGAACTTACTAGAGTTTGATAAAGGATATTTACTTTATATATTTTGCCATCAAGTTCACAATTTGTGTTTTAGTGGTTATAAAGCTTTAACTTTACAAATCTTGCTGTCCACTGTTGTTGAATAATTATTGTATGACACCCCCCATCCCACAACAGTGAAAATGTAAATTGATAAAAATGGGAAAAAATGCTTAAACAAACATCAATATTATTCATCAATATTATAAAAAAATAAAAATTGAGTTCTGACAAGCCTAGCTATAACTTTAATAGAAAGGCTGCTGAAATAGAAATAGTCAAATATCAGTTGGTAAATGTACCTATCAGGAATGTCTACATATTCTTACATTTATGTAAGATACTGTGGATGGAATCCTCAAAGGGACTTATGCATTGCAACGCTGAGCATCATCTCGCCTAGAAATCACAGGAGCAACATTGTGAACCATAAAGCCATGTTAGGCACCTAGGCACGCTCTACAATGAATGGGGAGAGGCAGGCACCTCAGAGTGCAATTCGCCGGCATGCTAGGTGGGGAGCTGCCTAAGCTAGCCAATGGGAGATGCAGAGGAGAAGGGTGTGGGCTGAGCCCCGCCCCTCTCTCGAGATAGGTACCTACGTTTCTGGGCTGCAGGGAGGCGCCTAGCTCTGTTTAACGATCCACAAATGGGATCCCACCTTCTGGAGTCAGGTGGCTTGGGAACTTAAGTGATTTCTTGTAGGACTGAGTTAGGCACTCCACAAAATGGGCTGGGGATGCCACTGCCAATCTTCTAACATTTAGCCCACCGGTTAAAGCACTTTCCTAGACCCAGGTTCAATCTCCCCTTCTCTGCCGGGGGGGGGGGGGGAGGAGAAGAAATGTGGGAGACCCCTGTTCAAGTGCTATCAGAATACGCTGTGAAATATTCTGATGTAGGGCTCCCTCAAATCTCTGCTGTTGCACTGTGGCCTAATAACTACTTAAGTATTTACAGTGGAACAGTCATTGGGCCAAAGGGGGGATTGAGCCTGAGTTTTCCATAACCCAAGTGAGTGCTCTAACAATGGGGATAAAGTTATAAAGTGGATGGTGACATCTCCTCCTCTGTCAGGATTTTGAATGGGACCTGATCCAGTAGGTGGGTACAGAGGGTGCCTAGTGGATTAGGCCCTGCATGTGATTTAGGTGACGAAATGGCTATTTTTCCCTGATTCGTGAATTGCTCTGGGGCTCAAGCTATGTCTACACTACTGCTGTAAGTCGACCTTCACTATGCAACTCCAGCTATGTGAATAACATAGCTGGAGTCGACGTACCTTAGGTTGAGTTCCTGTGGGGTCTACACTGCGGGGGGTCGACGGGAGAAAATCTCCCGTCGACTTACCTTAATCTTCTCATCGAGGATAGAGTACAGGGATCGGCTGAAGAACGATCTGCTGTCGATTTGGCGGGTGTTCACTAGATCCGCTAAATCGACCGCTGGTGGATCGATCTCAGAGTGTCCATCCCGGCTGTAGTGTAGACTTGCCCTTAGGTGGGAGATAGGTCTCCAGATGCCTAGAATGAGGCAGCAATGCACGTGCCCAGAGGCAGAAACTTAGGCTGTGCGTTTAGGCACCCCCAGGATTCAGCAGGAGTTTTGTGGATCAAGGTGCAGGGAAAAGTGGGACTTAAGCACCTAAGTACCTGTGTGAATCCCACCCCATATATTCAACACAATCAGGAAGTGCAAAGATAGATTTTTTTGTGAATAAAAGGAAAATGCTTAGTGCTCCTTCAAAATATTTCACTAGTAGCAAAGTTAGGGAGCTCTGACATACTTTCTCAGGCACCCTTTGATTAAATTAGGGCCTGACTGTGCAAATACAGGTGGGTAATAAGAAAGAGCCAAGGGCTTGGGCTCAGGATTTAGTACGGCGCTTTGAACAAGAACTGATTCATTAACAGCCAATTTAAAAAAAAATCATTAAGACTAGATGCCTTGGCTTTTGAGTGGCCAACTTGAGACACCTTGGACCTGATTTTCAAAGGTACTGAGCGGCTGCAGCTCCCCTTCAGTTTAACTGACGTTGTGGGTGCATGGCACTTCTGAAAATTGGGCCTACAGGGACTCACGTTGGGCTTTCAAAATGAGCGATCACTCTTGAAAGATTTGCCTAACCCCTACTTGGTCAGCGTCCCCTCAGCCAGGTGGAGGTTGCTGACCAGCGACGCTCAAAAGCGGTTTTAATTTTGGATCTTGAAATAAAGGGGATCGCACAAGTCGATTATTTGGTTTGGGGATCCAGGGGAGGAGATCGTTTCCAAAAAGATGATGTTTGCTGAGGCCACAGGCAATTTAACAATCACGCTTTCTGCTTTGTTTTAATCTGTTGTTGTTACAAGTTACATAAGTTCCTTTCACCCAAGGAGAGGGCACAGATCTGGCAGCATGCAGGCACGCTTCTCTTGCCTGGGAGGTTTTTCCCTCCATACACCACCACAGCCCAGAGAAAACAAGGGGGGGAATAACCCCCCCCCCTCCCAGCACTGGGGCAGGTGCAGCACCTGAGCCTATTTTGAACGCCCTGCGGGAGGCTGCCAAGCCGGAGCACCCGCAGGGGTTGGCCTGGGGCAGCCCAGCCCGCCCAGAGCGCTGCCCAGCCCCGGGGCGCCGTGCCCCAGCTCCCGCGGGGTAGCGGAGCGTGACCGATCCCCGCGGGGTTCCCCGGGCAGGAGCGTGTCGGGACACGCAGGTCCCGCCCGTCCTGTGGGGGCTCAGCCGGAAGCCGGCGAGACGGGCTGAGCGAGGGGCGCCCGCCCCGCTCCCGAGGGCCACGCGGGGGCGGTGACTCACGCCCGCCCAGCGCCTGCCAGGGAGGGGCGGCAGCGCGAGCCCCCGGCTCGCGCCGCGCATGCGCGGCAGCATCAGCCCGGAGTTGTGAATGGTGCGGCTGTTTGGCCGGAGTTTACGAGCCGGGGAGGAAGTCGGGGGGGAGGGGGCTCGAGACGCGCGGCGGCGGCAGCAGCAGCGGCGCGAGCTCTGGCGGTTGCTGCTGCTGCACTGGGCGCGAGGCGGCGGCGGCGGCGGCGCGGCCGGGGGAGGGGGCGAACAAAGGGCAGTGGGGCGAGCCGCCGGGGCGGCAGCGGCGGCCCCACCATGCCGCGGGTTGTCCCCGACCAGAGGAGCAAGTTCGAGAACGAGGAGTTCTTCAGGAAGCTGAGCCGCGAGTGCGAGGTGAGGGGACCCCCCCCGGGGAGCAGCGCCCCCCGCGCCCCGTCCCGCCGGCGCCCGCACCTCCCAATCCTGTCCGGGGCTGCCGGGGCCGAAGGGCAGCGCCCGCCCGCCCGCGGTGCTATCTCCGCACTCCGCCTCCCCTTATCGCTCGCCGCCGGCCCGCTCCCGGGCGGGATTCCTCCTCTGATTTGCCTCCTGTTCCTCGCAGATTAAATACACCGGCTTCAGGGACCGACCCCACGAGGAGCGCCAGGCCCGGTTCCAGAACGCCTGCAGGGACGGCCGGTCCGAGATCGTAAGTGCCGCGCTTCCAGCATCTCCCCCCTTCTCCACACGCGCCCCCGAAATCCACCTGGGCCGCTCGCTTGGCCCCCCGCGGCACGGCACTGCCCAGCGCCGTCCCACGCGCGAACAACCCGGAACTGTGCGGAGCCCAGACACCCCGCTCGCTGCCTAGCGTCTGCCGCTTGTGAAACAAAGCTGCGGATGCTAAACATTTCAGCAGCAGGAGCGACTTCCTTATTGTCTGCCCCATTCCAACGCGCAGAGGGGGAGAGATCTAGATTCACCGGTTGTGGATGTCAATTGCCTACGGTTGTCGCGGCCAGGCGCTTAATCACCAAACTTAGCCAGCCCTAAACTCCCCCAGCATAAAACTTCACTGGATAAATAACTGTTGTTGCTACCAGCAAAAGGGTTTGGGCAACCATGTTTTCACTTGATAGGGAATAAAAAAGGGAACTAAAACCCAAGCAGCCTAAGTTAAACTATCCAGCCACTTCTTTAAAGAAATAAATGTGTCTTTCTGTTCAGCAGCTTAACTAAAATGTATAGTAACGTTTTAAAAAATACTTTAAGGAAGAGGAAAAACAACAAGGAGCCCTTGTTAGAGACTAACAAATTTATTTGGGCATAAGCTTTTGTGGACTAAACCCCACTTCATCAGATGCATGGAGTGAAAAATACAGTAAGCAGTATATATATTACAGCACATGAATATATATATACTGCTTACTGTATTTTTCGCTCTATGCATCTGATGAAGTGGGTTTTAGACCTTTAGCCTACGAAAGCTTATGCCCAAATACATTTGTTAGTCTCTAAGGTGCCATAAGGACTCCTCATTGTTTTTGCTTATACAGACTAACACGGCTACCACTCTGAAACCTTTAAGGAAGAGGAACACTTAGTCATTGATTTAAAACTCTCATGGATGGGTGGGGCAGAGTGGATGCTGTTTGAGGGATGTTTTGTAGAAATGTTTTGTAAAAACTATCAGTTTCAGTATGTAGGATTCATAATACGTATTCTGTGACTTATTTTTAAATAAATCAAGGGATACTTTGTAAACAAGTACCTTAATATAAATACATTGAATGTTGATTTAAACAATTATTTACTTATCTGTCCCCTAAGGAGTGGGCCTTGCATTGGAACATAGGGTGGTTGTGCTTCTAAAGTGTAGCACCCAGTTGTGGAAAGCTTTAGTTATATCTGTACTCTAGAAAAGAAAGGGAAGATGAATGTTCATTAACATTTAATATTCTCCATATAACAGTATTTGCGTCTATAAAAGTTAATTTTAGAAAACTTTTTTTGCCTAATAGTAATAGCTAATTCTGCTATTACTAGAGGAATAAAAACATATGTATCTTGTACATTAGGATTTAAAAGTAGTGTTATGTATGTGAAAATGTACTTTATGGCCAACAAAATGATCTGTGAGAGTATATTGGCAGTTCTTCTTTCACCATTGCATATGTTGAAATTATAAGCTACTTATTTCAACTTTAAATTCCTTTGTCTAGGAAGTAGTGACTTCCAGGAATAAATAAGACTAATATGAAATTATTCTGAACTCTATCCTATCATTTGGTTAAAATGAATTAGTAAATAACCTTGATATAGTGAAATTTAAAATGGAAAAAAAATGCAGTCACCGAAAGCTTTTTGAAGTAGAGTAAATAATCTTTTCTGAACCAAATTAGGCACGTTTCAAACTAAACTTTACAATTGTAAATATTGGATTTTTTCTTAGTGATGGTACTAGTAGACCACTCTCATCCATGAAGTAAAACAAGATTAATATGGCTCCATGTAGTCAAAAAGTGGCTAGAACTTATTTCCTGATTTATTTCTGTTTGATGTTTTTCAAATAGGATCTGTATCTTGTAGCATGCTTGTTAGTGATGTGGCTATTTGTACAGTTCCTTAAAACATTCATATTGAAAAGTCACCGATTTTTTTGTTACTTATTTAAAACAATGAAAATGGTGACAGAGTTTTCCTCTTCATTAAGGGTTTATTTCAAGTGAGAGGAGGATTTACCTGTTTTTTGATTCTGGCTTAATAAAACACTTCCATATACTTATCGTAAACCTACATTGCTACATAGTAAAACTAGGGATTTTTTTTATGCACAGTGTACATAGTGGAATACACCTTTACACAAATTATTAAAATAAGTTACTGTATTTACTTTAATTTGTGAATAGAAGAGGGGAGTATTCTAATATAGCAGATTCCTATTATTCTAGTTATCCGTTTTCAACAGTTATCTAATACAGCTAGAGGGGGATGTTTTATATTGTGTATTGTAAGTGAGCAAGGTTTATAGAGAATCTGTAGAAAAAAGTAGATATTATTCAAACCCATGCGTAGCAAATCTCTTGGGCTTGTTTAAATTATTGTCATTGAGCATGATTTTTTTAATATTTTAAAAAGTTTACTGTTGAAAACAATTATGGATGGAGAAAAACATAATTTTTTAACCTTTTAAGGTTCCTGGACTGGTGGCAATGCACAGTATACGTCTGTAATTGAGCACTTCACTGAAAACTTCAGATCTAAGCTTATAATTAGTTACAGCTAATACGGTTTGTGAAGAGTTATTTTTGTAAAATGGGAAATTACTGTCTCTTCACCATCTCATTTCTATGCCTGCCCTCTCTCCCTGCCAGAACTCTGCCCCTTGAAATCTCCGGTGATGCCTGTTGCACACAGTTTTTCAGTCTGTTATAATAATAGGAAATAGCTTCTTCTTTTCTTGACCTAAGACATCTGGTTTGGTCCAGTAAAACTGATTGCTTGTTACACATCCATTTAGAAAGTGAGGGTACTGTATGATCAAAGTTTTAAAAACTAACCAGTTAATTCAGTAAAAGAGGTTATGTAGATGATTTGCTACAGATAAAGAATTTATTCTCATCTTTACACAGGGAGGTTTGTGCCTTCTGATGGCAGTGTGTCCAGAAGTAGTCTAAGAGTAATATAAAGATGGGGTTGGGACATAAATGCGTCATACAAAGGTCACAGTTCTCTAACTTCAGACCAAAGTGATCATGTCATGAACAATTTTTTAAAATAAAAAAAGTCATTACTGAGATGTAGTCTTAAATTATCAGTGGTATATTGTTTTGTGTATTTTGAGGAGAGAGCTTGCCTACTGCCACAATAATCTTCGAAAAGTGGTGGTTGTGCATGTAAAATAACTCCCCTGACACTTACTGTACATAAATACTCAGTTAACCTGAATGGTTCTAAACAAGTACTTCTAGTCTATTAGGTAATGAAAAGCCCTTTGGAAAAGAAAAATAAATGTAACCAATAACCTTTACAGTCTATTGATCCATAAAACTACTTTTGAAACTTAAAACCCCCAAAACCCTGTGTTAAGCATATTTTCTGGGTAGATTTAAATAGACTTGGTCTCTTGTGTATACATATTTTATAATCACCTATAAATCTTTTATGGTAAATCTTTTAAGTTCAAATGGAAATTGTTTTTTTTAATGTTGAACACTGTGACAAAAGCCAAGAGCTTTAAAAGGCCATATCCAACCTAAAACAACCACTGACTGCCTGACCTGCAGAAAGTCTGTCATATTTTGAAGTCACTCTATAACCTTGGTATCAGAGTGCTGATGTGGTGGTCTGTTCATCCTCTTTGTTGTGACTGCATAATATCAGTTTAGATGTTACATGACCATCAGGTTTCCACTCGCTCTGTCATTTATGGCAGTCAGACTCATGGGAATGACATCCTGATGAGGATGGAAGACAGGAGTTCCTTCCATGGCTGACATCTAATCAACATGGGAATAACTTGAAAAGACCTGGATTGACAGACACTTCTCTCTCCTTTCTAGAGGTCAACCAGAAAGCCAGAAATAGGGTTTATGGGACTATAGACTACTTGCTAGCTCCCTACAAAACACTAATGATGATGGATGGTCAATACTTCACTGATTTTTTACGTACGTACCGATAGTAGTCAGTTATGCCTATCTGATGATTGGGAGAATAGGAGAGGCATCCCCAGCCTACACACAATAGTGTTCGCGTGTGTGAGAGTGAGAGAGAGAGGGGGTTGGGGAAACATAGCAATAACAGCCACGTTTACATGATACATTAGATGGACTATTGGATTTTGTACATGAACTATTGATCTAATATAATTGGTTGGGGGGCGGACACAATGCTTCTAAAAATTCACATGATAGCCTGTATCTGGCCTATAGACTAAGGCTGCACAGTTCCAGTGGGCGTTGGTGTGCATTCATATTTTCTGTCGTATTTTCTATTATTTTCCCCGTCTTCAAGCTTTTCTATGATTTCCTGGATACATGTAAGGATTTCTTCTCTTGGTGCTTCATGCTAGGGTGACTTTTCCCCGAATGGAATATACTACCGCTAAAGCTAGCATCCGGGGGCTATCAGAAACTTGTGCAGTCTGGAAAACTGCAAAATTCAGCTGGCTCAGCCCTTTCAGAGTTTTGTATTAGCGTGTGCATGTTTGTTTTTAATAACAGCCTTAGTTTTTAAAGGCTAAAAATGCTGAGAGAATGGTAGTAAAGCTGCTTGGCCGTGTTGGTGTTACTGCATTGTTGATTCAGAAGAGTGTTTAAATCTAGAAAATTGTTTTTCAAAATATCGTATTTACATATGAGCAAACAAAAAACTACAAATTGGGAAAATGATGTAATACAAGGAATCTCCACCAGAGTACTGATGACAATGGCTCTAGTTCTGTTCTTACGGTTTACATGTTACCTGAAGCTGTTGATGGAGTATATCTTTAAGTTACACTTCTGTCTAGCTTTTTACTGCACGTTTATACTATTTAAAATGTTTTTCTTTGAATGTTTTGTATCCTAAACAGATTAATATACTTGTGCAATATCACTTTGATACTAGTGACTACTGTCGTCAATTTTAATGACTGTCTGTGTTGGCTTAATGGGAATGCTCAAAAACTGCTTATAAGAGAAAGTCAATAGATGAAACCTAATCATGGGATATTAGTCTCCTTCTGCTACAAAAATGTCAGGGCAAAGCAGGTTTCATTTTCAAAGTGAGAGATATTGATCCTGTGACACTGTTCTTCTACAATGACTTATACAAAATGACGCAGAGTGAACTATATGTTAAGTGGTAGTGTAGTCGAGTGATTTTTTTTTTTTATTACCGCTAAGTTGCTGAATTCTGCATTGCTTAGAGGAAACATCTATTTTATGCTCCTTTCAGTAAATCATCTCTCTAAATTCAAACTATTTTGAGCTATATTTTTATGTACTTTTTATGAATAAACTGTTTTCTGGATTAGTATTCTTTTAAATTTAAGTGAATAATGGTAGTTAGTCCAGCAATTTGATTGCAAGACATTCTATTTGATATAATTATATTTTAATGATATGTTCTGGTATAAGTGTGTATCCGTGTATGCATATTTACTCTGTACTCTATCATAACTGAAACAGTGAATCAGAATTCTACTTCTACCCACATTGTTTTCCCCCCTCCCAGCTGTGCAAGTTGGAGCTCTCTTTCCCTGTTTGAATTGCTGTGATATGCATGAGTCTAAACTTCTTATGAATGAAAATGAAACTTTGTTTTCAGTTGAAGTTTAAGGTCATGGTTTACTTGAATACAAGGATTCTCATTTCTGATAAGATTAAGTCAATGTCCCTTCACGAGTTTTTGAGAAAGAATACAACAGATTTCTCATACATGGAACATCTACTAATCTAGATTTCGCTGAAGTGTTTGCCCACTCACACACTAGCTATAGTAGCAACAAGATTTCACAACTTGAGAGTGTAATATTATGCAGTATATGGAGGGGTACATAGATGGTGCGTTCGCTCATCTGTCTGTCAGCATGCAAAATAAGGGTAAATAAATATTTTCCTTGCATTTTTGTCTTTAGATCTCAGGTAATATGCCTCCTGGATTTATATATCTGTGAAAAACAGATAGGATTTTTTTGTTCAAAATCTGTGCTCCCAGTAACAAGTCTCTGCAACTCACTTTCTTCTGAAAGTTCTTCTAACTGGGAAAAATGCTACTTTTTACAACATGTAAGCACTTTTTTAGTAGGTTTTGGTACTGAGTTGTTGGTACGGGATTTCCTGACAGAATTCTGAAATAATAGATTCTAATGTCAGCAAAAACTGATTTGAAAGAAAGTATTGATTCCATGTTGTATTTTATATCCAAAGCAGCCAATGGCAAATGTTGTCAAAATGGAATCAGATGTTTGTAACTTAATACTTAAGAAAAATGATGAGTGCATGTTTTTGACTTTAAGTATTCTCTATGCTGCTTGGCTTAAGACATAAACTGATGTAAAAATAAATGACTGCCTGCATAATTTATGTAATGTCTTGCTCCCTGATCCTGTTTGTATTGATTTTTCTAAAAGGCTTTTGTGGCCACAGGAACCAATCTGTCTCTCCAGTTTTTTCCGGCCAGCTGGCAGGGGGAGCAGCGACAGACACCGACCCGGGAATATGTCGACTTTGAAAGAGAGGCAGGCAAGGTAAGAAGGAAATGGTTGCAATTCAAAGATTTTTATGTGCAGTGTCAGTGAGCTTTTAATATAAACTGTGTATTATTTGAAATTCTTAATGTTCCACAGTTCAATGCGTAGTAGAGGTTAGTTATAAAAATACTAATAAAAATTATTAAGATGAAATCTGCTAAATTTCTCTAAGGATTGTTAAAAATAAATTTAATTTTAACTTATTTTAAAACACTTTTTATATTACTTGGGGAAAGGTATGTGGGGTAATACTTGGTTCTTTCCTTCTATTAACTTTCATTTATTTTGGAGGGCAGAAGCCCACTTCTTCATAATAAAATGTTTAGGAACAACTGCAATTTGTTAGTTTTTAATATACAGTAGACACACCTTTGGGACTGCATTAAAATTACAAACCTTAACTAGCAAGTTATCTTAGAGAAATTTTCATTAGTCTCACTGAGCACATTCCCTTGGCAGGGCTCAGGTTGGCAATTTATATGAAGTGTGGGAATTGCTTGCTCTTGTTCATCCACTAGACATTTTTTGCTTGACTTTCACCATCACAAATTATAAAGAATAAATACTACTTTAAATAAATTGCTGACTTTGCCTGTTTTGCTGTTCTGAAATGGTTGATCCACAGACTAAAATTCCTTAATGGCACAGCGGTACTTTATTAGTGTTTAGGTTGTATCTTTCATCTCAGAAAACTTGTTTGAGAGGTCACTGTGATGTAACTTTTTTTTTTTTTAAATGTATGGTTTCACTGTATAGGAAAAATACTTAAAAACAATGCTTAATGGATATGTTTCTCTGTACTATGTAGGCTATATGGGCCTGATCCAAAGCCATTGTAGTTTTGTGAGACTTTTCTTTTGGGTCAGACAGTGTATATACTCTTGGACTCCCCCCGGAGCCGGGTAACTTTTCTGTACTATTGTTTTCTAATAACTCTTTTTATAAAGGTTCTTAAAGGGACTTGCTCAACTTAAAACTCTCACTATCTGTTTTCAACCTTCTTTTGTTACACGTAACTACTAACATTAAAAAAAACTGAAAGACGAGGAAATATTTCATAAAGTTTTATATAATAGCCTATTGGGTTTTCCCACATCAGTATAAATAGGAAAATCTGATTGCAAAAGCACAAAAATTCTCAAAGGACTTACTCAGGGTCAAATGTAGTACCTGAAGTTTCTTTTAACTCATATTTTGAAATTAACTGGAGTTCAAGTTGATAGTACTGTATCATTTTTGTGTTTTTTGTAAACCTATTCTACTGTACTGTGGAAGCCTGCAAAAGTTTTTAAAAAACACATTTTGGGCAGGGAGGCGGGGGGGGAAGGCTGGGTACTGGCTTCTCTGGTGAACAAGATGAATTGAGTTTGGCTCTTACTGAAAAATATTGATTCTGGCTCATCATTGAATGAGGAATTTTTTCTTGTGACATAGCAAACTGAAGTCTGTTTTTGCTTATTCCAAAAATAAACAATTGTATTTACTTCCATGATTTTTTTTAACTTTGTTTCCTTGGAATGAATTTTTAAAGGGGTGAATTAAGAACTTAAGAATGGCCATACTAGGACAGAACCATGGTACATCTAGCTCAGTTGCCAGTGCCAAATGCTTCAGAGGGACTGCACAGAACAGGTTAATTCATCAAGAGCCATCCTCTGTTGTCCAGTCCCAGCTTCCAGCAGTCAGAGATTTAGGGAGACCCTGAGCATAGGTTTGTGACTCTGAACATCTTGGCTAATAGCTATTAATGGACCTATTTGATGTGATCTTATCTAATTTTTTTTAACTCAGTTATACTTCACAACATCCCCAGCAGGTTGACTGTGCATCATATGAGGAAGTACTTTCTTATGGTTTGTTTTAAACCTGCATCCTATTAATTTCATTGGGTGACCCCTGGTTCTTGTATTGTATAGGGGTAAATAACACTTCCTTATTCACTTTTTCCACACCATTCATGATATTCTAGATCTCTATCATATCCCTCCCCTTAGTCATCTTTTTCTAAGAATAGTCCCAGTCTTTTAATCTCTCCTCATATGGAAGCTATTCCATACCCCTAATCATGTTTGTTGCTCTTCACTGTGTTTTTTCCAATTCTAATGTATCTTTTTTGAGATCGGGTGACCAGGACTGCATGCAGTATTTCGGGTATAGGCATACCATGGCTGTATATAGTGGCATTATATTTATTGCCTTATCTGTCCTTTTCCTAATCACTCCTAACTTTGTTAGCTTTTTTTTTTTTTTTTGACTGCTGCTGCACATTGAATAGATGTTTTCAGAAGACTATCCACGATGTCTCCAAGATCTTTCTTGAGTGGTAACAGCTAATTTTGTGTATATTGTTGGGATTGTTTTTTCCAAGTGCATTAATTTCCATTTATCAACACTGAATTTCATTTGCTATTTTGTTGCCCAGTCACCCAGTTTAGTGAGATCCCTTTGAAACTCTTTGCAGTCAGCTTTGGAGTTAACTATCTTGAATAATTTTGTACTGTCTGCAAACTTAGCCACCAGATTTGCAGGAACTTAGTATATACTACTGCGAAGCCAAATAGAATTGATCTCATCACTGTATGCTGCTTCTTGCATTTTACATGTTAGTTTATAGTAAACTTTCAGAATATTTGGCTAAATTTAAGTCTCCTTCCGTATTTTTTCATTTAAGGCCATTTAGAAGTAAAAGATCATCCAGTAAAACATGAATGGTATTATACTGTACTTTGGATAAATCACGAATTCCTGGGTGTGATTTAGCATTATTATAAATCGCATGTGACATCAAGCTTGTACTATGCAGAACTTGTTTTAAAGTGAAGTTGCTCCCATAGCATGTTGAGAAGAGAAGCAAACAGGGTAGAAGTGCGTTACGATATCAACAGAAAGCACCTGATGGCATTATAGTATTGTAGTTTAGTTGTCTGTCACTTATTCTTTATATAACTTTGTAAGGAGTTTTATGAATTTTTTTTTTTGCACATATTCAACTGTCTCTACACTCAGACATGTGATTTCTGAAGCTCCACGCAACAATTTTTTGTAAGCTTTAACTCTTGAGGCAGTGGCATAATGTGTGTTTGTTCATCACTGGAGCTGTGCCAGCAAGGCATGTTTTTAATTATATGACTAAAATATAGGCTATTGAGGGAGCTGTCATTTAATTATTATTCTAGGCATAACTCTGAGATTCTGAATGTAGATAAAGTTAAACTTACAAATACTGAAATCTTTTTATTCTAGAATTCTTTACTGTTTCACAGCGTTTGGTTAACCAACTAATGTCCCAGAAATAGTTGATTCAGAATTTGTAAGTGCATTACTGCCGACTATAAACAGTTTTTGTCCTTAATCATGTAATTTTATTCTCCAGATAAACAGTTTTCTAAACTGTTTTCTAAAGGAGCTTTAAAAAAAATTCCATAGTTGAGTCCAGTTTGTTGTCCAGGGAAAATGAATTAGCATCCTGTTCTTTATCTACAGAATAGGAGTCTGACATACGAGGCCTTTTTAAGGATAACAAATTCCTTAATAGTTATTGGGACTCTGGGGGATAGATCTTCGCAGACAGATATATGCAATTTGAGTTATTTTGTACCTACAAGGATATATACGTTCCAGAAAATTGGCCTCTAGAGCCTAAAGATCATAAAACAAAATCTTTCAACGATCTTCTAAAAATAAAAAGCTCAAAAGAAGTGTAGGAGTTACACAGTGGATCAGACTTGTAGCCCACCTCATCCGGGGTCCTGTCTGACAGTGGCCATCACCAGATGTTTCACAGGAAGGTTCAAGAAGCCCAACAGTAGGCAGATGTAGGGTAATCTGCCCACTTGAATGTCTCATCCTCATCCCTATGAGTTAGAGATCGATTTAAACATAAGGTTTTATTTCTTTTCAGATTCCCTTTGCTAGCATTAACTATTGTAACTCTGGATATTTTTATCATCTATGTAAAAGTTGACTCTGCCTCTGAATATTGCATTGTTTTTGAGATGAACAACATGCCATGGCACTGTGGTCTGTATTGTGAGGAAGTATTTCCTTTTATCAATTTTGAATGTAACCTTTTAATTTCATTGAGTATCCCTTTTGTTTTTCTATTATGAGAAAGAGAACAGAAGCCTCTGATATTATTTTAAATGCTTTTATTATTGTAAAGTTAAAAATATCCTACTCTTTTCCATCTCCATCCATGTGAGGTTTTTCTGTCCCTAATCTTTTTTGTCATGCTTCTCTGAACCTATTCTAATTTTGCAACACTGTATTTGATGTGTGGCAACCAAATACTGCACACAATGTTCCGGAGGAAGCTGTGCCATTGAGTCATAACTTTATATTAATCTCCATTTCATTCCTTATGCAGTTTAACATCTTGTTTGCTTTTTTTGACAACAGCTGCACATGATCAGAGGTCCTCCACACAGCCAGCCTCCAAGATGCCTGTGTCTTTTCTTAAGTTCATATAGTAAATTTAGACCCTTGTAAAGTGTTTGAGTAATTGAAATCTCTTCTTCCATTTTGCATTAATTAGTATTGTCATTGTCTGCCGTTCACCTAGTTTAAGTCCCTCTGACATTCACATTCTTCAAGTTATGCCACGTTTGAGATCATTAATAAATATATTAAACACCGGATGGAGTATGGCACATTGAGGCACCCTGCTGTTAACCTTTTGCCAAGATGTAAATTGACTATTTATTCCTATTTTGTTTTCTGTCTTTACCCAGTTTTTCATGCATGACCGTGCCTTTAAGACCATGACTTAGTTTCTTCAGCTTCTTGTGAGGGACTTTCTCAAGGTCCTGCTGAAAGAATAAATAAATTGTTAACCAGTTCTGCTTTATCCACTACTTTATTGACAGACTTTTCTTTGCTGAAATCATGCTGGTTGGACTCAGTCATTTTTTAATTACCTTTCCAACGAATTTACTGATGTAAAGCTTACTGGTCTGTAATTTCCCAGATCACCCCTTGCACCTTTTTAAAATAGATTT